GTACCTGGCTCGCCCTGATAGAGCTCAGTCATTAAAGCCCTTTGAGTGCAGGAGGTCACTGTGAGCGTTTCTAGAAAGACCCGTAGACTTGGAAGTACTTTTGGCACTTTCCGGGGTGATTGAAGGGCAGTTTTAGGTAACTATGATTGTACTTACCTTGTAGGGTTTCACTATTCATTTTGTTCGGGACAGACTTTTGGGACAGTACCCTTGGGACAGCAGGCTATGTTATTACATCACCAAAAATGCCCTTGGGCTCCTCCCTCCCATGCACATCTCTCCCCAGCCCCCCTTCTGATGTCTGCCAGCAGAGGGTGGCTCTACCTTCCCTTAGTAACAGATGCCAAGCATGACCTAAGAGGTGCCCACTTGTCCTCATTCTTGCAGTGAAGCACAAAAGAATGACATCATTAGCATAACGTCTTTCCAGAAAGATGCATTCTATTTTAATAGCTTGATGCAGGATTTCAACATCATCAAACAGCAGACATCCATCCATCTTCTGTATCCGCTCATCTCATTCAGGGTCTTGAGGTGTTTTGAGCTTATCCCCGAGGCTACAAATGCAAGGCAGGGAACATCAACCCATCACGGGCAACACTACCTCACCAATCACACTTATGGGCAATTTAGTAACTCCAGCTCACCTCAGAATGTTTTTGCACAGTGGGGGGACACCAGAGATTCCCAATGAGATTCCATGACAACACGAGGAGAATGGGCAAACTCCACACACACAGAGCAAAGGCAGAGACTCCAACCCTGGTCCCAATGGCGTGAGGCCGTGCCACTACGTTAGCAAGGAGACGACTGAAGGCTGGAAAGTTATACAGAAGCTGCAGGATGAGGAGGACCAGGAGATCCCCTTCATTCTTGGGAAAAAGTCTGTGAGGGGAAATCCCCCCTCGGCTAAGTACAGGCAGGTCACCCAAGGCGGTGTGTTCAGCAGGCCCTGGTCTCCTTGGTGTCCTTCTACATTTATTTACTGAAGGACTTGCCGGCAGTCTTGCATGAGATCATTTCAGAGTGACTGATGTCACAGTGCTTCTGTGTGGATGGTATGCCTTGGATGCAAAAAACAGCATGCCAACCTCAAGCCCCGCCCCCCATTCAGCCATTCCCAGCATGCACTGCTGAGAGAGCTGCACGAGGAATAACCTCAAAACTTAGTGTGTGCTAACCTACCAGACAATGGGGATGTTCAACATTCATTTCACTTTGCATTTCGTGGCATTTTATTTGGCTTAAAATAAGCCAGCTACAGTCCTTGGGGTGTATCTGAAATAGATTTCCTATATAGAAGGTTACAACTATATATAAACACATTGAGTATAGTTTGAGACTACTGCTCCAGCACAGATTCTCTGAGTTCGCTATGGAGAACCTCATTCTCTGGTCACTGACATAGTGCCCATCTGAGTGTCAATGATACTGTCCTTCAAATGCCCAATACAGTATGTAGTGGTCGTTCTAGGTCTACGCCTTGACCATCACTACTACAGCATAGAGCTGGGCGATATATCGATAAAATGTCGTACCGTGATTATGAACATTCATATCGTCATCAGTTTCAATATTATGAGTATTGTGGCACAGCCAAAACACTTTTCCTGCAAAATTAACTGTTATAATGCACTGTTTTTATGCAAATTCCTTCAAGGTGTGAGTCTGTTGTTGGCCTCATTTATTATTATACCTATCAGACTATTACTAAAACAATCTGCCCCATCATAATCAGAAAAACTCAAAACCACCTGTCAAATTTAGCTGTTTTCTAAGCTGTTAGAATATCATGATAAATATTGATATTGTGAAAAACTCTGATATTGTGATAAAAATCTTTATACAACATCATTTTGCTACACTCATGGTGGTCATGACTATCTCCTGATGGAAGTTTTCTGTACTCTGGCATCCTTCTGGAGACTCTTCTGGTGGCATCTTGTGGAATAAAAACTTCCAGTTCCACCTCATATTCACAATAAAACTATAAATCTCCTGGCACGTACCCTCTCAGTCAGTTGGCACAGCAATATTTGTCTGGATTTTGTGCAAGAGGGTTTGCTTTGATCTTTAATGGAACAAGCACTCAGCTGTTCCAAGGACACTACTCAGAACATCTGTCAATCATCTTCAGTCAGCCAATCATCTTCAGGGGAGGGTTTCATACAGCCAGCAAGGACACCCATTAAATAGTGTGAGGCAGACCCCAGCCAGTAATTTAAATAACTGCTAATCAGTAGTTGACAAATCTAGCTGGCAGATGGTGGAGAGGAGAATGTCAGAAAGACACGTGTTAGTCTGATTTCTGTTTCACTCAAAGAGCCCTTGAAATTGGATTCTTTATCTGTCCTAAAATAGCTGTTATTCTCATTTTGTGGATGCAGTTTTAGCCTCAAAATGGTGAAAATGAAAAAGATAAGAACCAGCAGTTCCATCACTGTCCCTGACTTATCCTCATTTCATCACAGGGGTGAAGCACCAACCAATTCCAATGTGGTTTTAATTCAATGCATCATTTATACGGCTGTGACTGTGCAGGCCACATTAAGCTATTAACCGGAATGGCTGCAAGGAGTCCCAACACTGCCCCAGAAAAAAATGGGGAGATTTAAAATCTATATGGTACAAACTTGCCAACCTTGCCAACTAAAATATATACAGTTTTTCATAAGCACAAGATTTCCTTCAGCTATTAGCTGGGGGAGGGAATCAAATTTTACAAACTGGCGAGTAATACAGTAGAACATGTATGATTGATTTTTGCTGATGAGAAAAGCAAAGGAACAATTTCCTCGGAGTGGAGGTGGAGGAGACCATGTGCAGACCACCCAGCGGGTAGACATTCGCGTACAGCACGCACGCTGGGGCTCCAACCGGAAATGAAGCCCAAGAAGCAGATTGCACCATCTTAACCACACTTTAATTAAAGCTGGCGGTGAAGAGCCATTGTGCGGAGCAGCAAGACGATAAAATGAGAAAATGCAGCACAATGTCATAAAAGATGGGAACATCCTGACGGCAGGAGAAACTTCTGGGTTCTTCACATCTGGGGCTAATCGAGCCTACAATCTGGAAGGTCCTCTGGCCTCATATAATGTAACCAGGCTAGGACTGAAAAGTCCATTGATCCCACAGCTTCTGTCATAAACGGGCTTCACCGTAACATTGACTCGAAAAACCTGTAACTGAATAGCATGCGATTCAAATCCTAGCTAGTCCAAGATCCCACGTGGCCCACGACAAACCACAAGCCCCCGTCAATGTCACAAATTTTACCCAAACTACCTATTTTGCCTGTTTATTTTTTGGAACTCTTATTATGACAGTGTAATGATTCAGTGCAGGGCTGTCGTATTTACCTTCTTTTATTGGCCCTGTGAGTGGGAGTGTCATGTCATAGGTGATCTACTTGTTGGCAAGAGGTTAAAAACATAAAATTGTGGTTGGAGTTTTTGGGGAAGAAATATCTATATTTGTGATATCAATGTGATATCTACGTTTGTGACATCCATGTGATATCTACATTTGTGACATCCATGTGATATCTACGTTTGTGATATCCATGTGGTATCTACGTTTGTGATATCCATGTGATATCTACATTTGTGATATTTATGTGGCATTTACATTTGCGATATCCATGTGATATCTACATTTGTGACATCCATGTGATATCTACATTTGTGATATCCATGTGATATCTACATTTGTGGTATCCATGCGATATCTACATTTGTGACATCCATGTGATATCTACATTTGTGACATCCATGTGATATCTACATTTGTGACATCCATGTGATATCTACATTTGTGATATCCTTGTGATATCTACATTTAGAGGAGTATCAGGATCAGATGCCACCCAGTGATAAGGTTTAATGCCACATGTACCTTAGGAATATGAAGAGCTGAGCAGACAGGTGGGCGGTAAAAGATCATTTAGTGAGCCACTGCCAAAACTACTGATGCATGCTGGGACACAAGAAGATACTGAAGAAGTCTAATCGCTGCTGCTAAGAGTCAACACCTACTAGTAGATATACACATACTAATTTAATGCAAAAACTGCCAGTGGACAAAAACACAACAGAATTGACCATATTAGTCTGTTTGCTTACAAACAGTAGGAAAGCCAGACATGAAGCCTAGTGCTTCCTGCTCAGGCAGATTTTCTTGAATAATACAGGCAGTCTGCCCAACAGCATTTCTCCCATACATTAATACATTTGTGCAGAAAGACAAAATGTATGAAATTTTCCTGGAACTCCTTATAAAGCTGAGAAGTCCTCAGCATATGTCTGTAGCTAATGAGCAATGACAGAAATGTTCATCTGCGTTTGTCAGTGCCACAGACTCGCTCACATCAACGGTGACCTTTTTCGTTTCTGTCCGTACCCCCTGAGCCTAAATTGGCCTAATTAGGTAGTTAATCATACGTATGATACTATTATATGTCTTTTGATATAATCCATGTACGTATCCACTTCCAATAACTACTTATCAAGTAGAGAGCTACCATGCTTCTGTCAAAATATTCAATAGGCATAAATCACAAAGACCTGACATCCTAAAATCCACACAAGCTTCTCTGGATTCTTTTTTCCAAAAACATTCAGTACAAACAAATTTCAGTCTTTCTGCTCAGATTCATCTTTTTCTTGTGAGAAAAATCATGCTCTTTTGAATCTAAAAAATAAATCTTTGCAGGATCTTGGAGAAGATGGACTGTATCTCCCCTCCATCCAAGTAGACATCCTGATGTGAGATTACTGGATCATCTCAAGAGCTTCTTCATCGTACTTACATTCAAGCGTATTGGCATATAATTTGCAAATTTACAAGGATTTTTTTATTGCGTTCTTTTCAGTTGGGGAAAAAAAATACAACTATGAGCAGGAAAACTTTCACAAGGATGGGGACTGAAATGGACCTGTGCCATTTAAAAAGCTTCACTTTCTATACGGATAAAAAATGTTACAGAACAAATCACTCACCAAGTACTTCTAGTCTGGGAAAAGGTCTTGTCAACCCTGTAAGACAGAAGCAGGGAGAGTTGTTAATCTACCATTAATTACTGTGAAAAAAGATTCATTACATTAAGCAGTTTATCTAGAGTGACATAAGAGAGAAAATCAGAAAAACAATGTCAGTAAGGAGGAAGCTGGAATAAGAGTTTTGCTTCAGAGCCCAACACAGATATAACTACTCTGTCGGCCATGCGAGTCGAACCCACGACCTTCCAGCCTGGGCAGATTCCTAACTGGGACTACAAACCACCTCCACACAACCACCATTTGCAACAGCCTACTGCTCCTGGTCATTACATTTACCTAGAGATCTGGCCAATGTCACATCTCACACTGACATATGAATATTCTAAAAACCAGGACAAAAATTAGCTTAGCAGTTAAAAAAAATCAGTTCCTAAGGACAACAGACAGGAGGCAATGTGACATAGCAATTGGGGTGGTGAGGGATTCAGTTTCTATGTGCCTGTGATCAGATGGTCACTGGTTCAAGCCCTGGCCTTGGCTGAACAGTCCCATGCCCATGAGCGTCCCCCTCTCCCCCCCAGTTGCAGAGGTGCTGCACATTGACTGACCTTGCACTGTGACTCCTAGTCTATGGAGAGCAAGGTGGGGTAGGCAATGAGGAGAATTCCAATGTACTTGTGCAAATGGGAAATAAAGGATTTATCAATAAAAGAAAATTCAAGCAAACTGCTAGCTTAATGAATGTAACAGTTCATCTGATTGGTAGCTGGGTTGGTGTGACCTTCTTTCCCCACCAGTGATAGGCTGGGCATGTTCCCTCCATTGACTAAGCCTTCCAATTAGCTTTCGCTTTTCCACTTCCTTACCAGAGGGACCAGTTTCCCAGTTCCACCCCTTACCAGACATTCTTACCAGGGCTTTCCGCATCCTTTCCCAACACGACCCTACATGCTGCACTCGCCGGCAAAACACCCGCCACGCAGGACAGAATGTTCGATGCGTTTCCAAGGCGATGGCCGTGGCAGATGCTCTGTGGGAGTGATGGGCAGGGTGCTGGGGTCTGCATTCTTGCCTGAAAACGGCGTGGTTGTCTACGAGCTCTAGAGTTGACTCCCGGGAGAGATGCCTTTGTCTGACGAGGCTTTCAGAGAGGGGTGACTGGAGATTCACTCCTGCTCATATTTACACAGAAAAGTAATTATCCAAAATTTCGCCTTATAGCAAGCATAGCGTGCTGTCTAGGGCATGCCTAAAATTTTAATGAGCTTTTGTGGGCTGTGGAATTGCATAACAGTACCTGATTTCTCAGCTACTGGCAGAACATAAAATCTGGCACCTTTAACCATTTATGGGGTTGGATATTTGCTGATGCATTTTAAGTTAAACCCATCTGTGAAATGAATTGCAGTTTCACACTTAGCATCTGGCCCTGGGTACGAGCTGAATTCCTGAACACAGTAGCACCTGCCATCCAGTGCATCAGCTGGAATCAGCTGGAATGTGCCATATACAGGCATACAGTGGTACAGAATAGTGTTCCCCTGGGACAGGGGGAGGGGTTTCACAGCACCAGAAACGCAAATACACAGGACTGTGCAAAAACAGGGGGGGCTGGACAGAAGGGTTTATATACAGAGGTCTAAAGTTCAGGTCCAGAAAACACAAATCCAGACCAAGGTTTTCTTTCAACCAACCAGTTCAGTACTCTGTAACTGTGACTCTTTATGCTCAACTGGTTGGCTGAAACAAAACCTTGGTCTGGATTAGTATTCTCTGGACCTGAACTTTTCATCTGTACTACAATCGACCCTTTATTGTTACAATGCAATTTTTTCACATTTTAAAAATCTTATAAAAAATACTCTGAAAGTCATCCCGCGACCCCCTTCCAGGGCCTTGCAAACCATCTGGTACTAACGGACCCCGCTTTGGGTGGCCCTCAGTTATCAGCTATGCTGGACCCTGTGGGCTGAGGAACAAAGATTCCTCCTAGAAATAGCCAACTGGGCAAGTGCGAGGCCGCCACCTGCCAGTAAAAACCCTGCGTCATCCATCACTCCTCTCATCTGCCTTAATTTGCCCTCACACCTGTGATGGAACCACCTTTATGTCCAGGAACCATGTGGCCCATAACCACAGCCTGTCGATCAGCTGACCTGGGACATGCTTTGACCTTTGCTCATGCACGATAAAGGGGGGTGTGTCCTGTCTGCAGCTCCAGCAATGCAGCCTGAAGTCCACATCTCTATGGTCTCACACTCTGAGGTCAGAGCCTATCCCTCGTTCCTGGGCTGGGCAGATGATAATCAAAGCCAGAGAGAAGGGAGTAAGTGTTTGTATTTTATAGGGGGGTTTTATGGACCATACATATGGTCACGTCAGTCAGGCATGTAACGAGAGCCTCTTCTGTTTGCACTACGTGTTTGTTCTGCTGCCTGGCAGAGGAACGAGCCTCTGTGACACAGAGTTACGACGGAAAAGGCCTTAACACAGAGTGACAGAGGAATAGGCCTCCTTAACACAGAGTGATAGGGGAATAAGCCTTAATGCAGAGTGACAGAAGAATAAGCCTCCCTAACACAAAGTGATACGGGAATTAGTCTGCTTTAACACAGACCCGATATTGAAATAAGCCTTAACATAGAGTGACAGAGGAATCCGCCTCCTTAACACAGAGTGATAGGGGAATAAGCTTTGACATAGGGTGAGAGAGGAATAGGCCGCCTTAATACAGAGTGATAGGGGAATAAGCCTTAACACAGGGTGAGAGAGGAATAGGCCGCATTAACACAGAGTGATGGGGGAATAAGCTTTAACACTGGGCGAGAGAGGAATAGGCCGCCTTAATACAGAGTGATAGGGGAATAAGCCTTAACACAGGGTGAGAGAGGAATAGGCCGCCTTAACACAGAGTGATGGGGGAATAAGCCTTAACACTGGGCGAGAGAGGAATAGGCCGCCTTAATACAGATTGATAGGGGAATAAGCCTTAACACAGGGTGAGAGAGGAATAGGCCGCCTTAACACAGAGTGATGGGGGAATAAGCCTTAACCCTGGGCGAAAGAAGAATAGGCCGCCTTAATACAGATTGATAGGGGAATAAGCCTTAACACA